CGACGAATAGCCATACCGAGAGCGTGCTTGCATTTGTATTCCTTGAGAAAGCATGGACAGGAGCAGCGCGCCTCCTTCCACTCCTCACCTGTCATTCTAACGACCCAGGCCGAGGAAGCATGCCTCTGGAAGTTGTCGAAACTCCCCCATTCGCTCTCTCTGGCGGGGAATTCAAAGTCGAAACCCCTCCCCTAACGCAAAAATTACCGCTGATCCAATAAGGAAGACTGCCACTCGAATAAAGCTGCCTGCTCCCTCCATGGAGAAGCAGCACAAAGCGAGTTAAAGTCTGCCCCTGCTTAAAGAGAACTGCCCTTCTTCTAATCATCGCCGCCGATTCTATACTGCCGCTTGGAAAGCTGCCAAGTCTATAAATTAGTTGGCAAGTCGGTAAAATAACTGCTGATCGATATCAGAAGATCAGCCGAAATATTTAAAAAAATCTGCCGGTTAAAATACAAGCCATTGAAAATCACGCATGTATATCTGTCCATCATCCATCGTGGAAGACCTCCGAGCAGGGCGTACGCAGGGGGGGGGGGCTAAAGGGGCTATAGCCCCCTCCCAGATGGTCCTTTCGTAATGCTGTAGTATAGGAGCGAATCGCCATATTGGATTTAGGCCCCATGCGGAGACCCGATCTAGCCCCCCTCCAAGAAAAATCCTCCGTACGCCACTGCCTCCGAGCTTATCTTCTCAGTTACAGTCGAGCAATGACGCTCCCTCCGCCGTAGGCAGGCGGGTCAGCGCGAAAGCCCTCATCCACACACAGACGTGCCGCGCTCAATTCGCTAATTCTGTGTTAACCCACCGTGTGTAAGGTATCGATTTCTCTGCTTGTTCCGAATTTGTCTCCGAAGTTTACAATGCTTCGAAGCTCCCTCGATATCTCCGACCTCCCCTATCCAATCTGGATTATTCCCTCGGATCTCAAAGAGTACCCTCCCGCAGCGACTTCCTGAATTAGGTCGTAGACAGCAGGAATTCGGGAAGGCGCGAGGAAATATTCTGCGCGGCAAGATGAGACTTCCAGTCTCTGAATACGGGACTTCGTTGTCGCTGTTTCGCCTCTCTTCCCACGAAGCAGGGGCTTTCCGATACGCCGGCAGATGTACACACACATAACATGCGAGGTGAAGATAATATGAGCATGGGGCCGCCGTAAGCCAGGAGCGAGAGGCACGGGGGGGAAGGCTATTATTAAGGAGCACGTGCAGATCTGGAGGAGTTCGTCGATGAAGGAAGCGCGAATTCCTTCCATCAAGTGAACTTTTCGCGGAGGTTTGGGACGCACTAGCTTAGGTGTCTGTACATACACTGAAAAGCCTCGGTACCGGTAGTGTTCCGAAGACGACCGCTTATTCATCACATTCAAGACTCTTTGCGCTCAAGCAGAGGTTCCCAGGGTATGATTCCGGCAAGAAACACGTACTGCAACGATCTAAGAGGAAGAGACTGGGGAACTGAAGATGAGGCAAGGATGAGGTTCCCGCAGTGCGCAGTTTCTGCATGTGAGGGAACAACCACTAAAAGTACATACCGTTATACCCTAATAGTGACCTCGGCTTCTAATTTTTCACGTCCCTCCGGCGGGGCTTATGATATATGAAGAATTATTCCGCGTCGGGAAAGCGATGACGGAACCGAGGGGAAAGCCAGTTCTCGATGGAGAGCTCGGCGATCATCACCCAACAGCAACAGTCTCGATGGCATAGGTGGATGAGCCCATCCCCCGCAATGTTTACAAGATCTAATTTGATGTTTACAAATTGACGCGGGACCTTGCATCAGGGGGCGGAAGCCTGTGTCGGAGGGGGACTTTTACTTTTTCAGGGAGCCGTGCGGGGAACTTCCATCAGGAGACTTATGTGCGGTACATGATATCCCAGGCCGTTTCTTCCGGAAGGGAGCGTCGATGACTCTTCGCACCAGCACAATCGCATGGCGCACCTTTTCCGACAAACCGATCAACTGCCTTGCCCCCGCGGCTCTCACCGGTCGAATGGAGAATTTTTCGGCAAGGGACGATGGGCTCCTCGATCAAGAGGAGGTTAATTCCATCAGTGAAACGTACCTTTTCGAGCGATGACGGAGGCTCCCTCTCCGTGTCCGTATTGCAGAAGCAGACCGTTGACCAAAGAGACTCATCGTCCCCAGCAGATGCCCTCTCCCCACTCCGGAATCTCTTGGTACTACAGTGGAGTCCCGATAATTCGCACCCTCGATAATTCGTGGAATCAAAAATTCGCTACAAGCGGAGATCCTCCAGCGGAAAGCCTCAGAAACGTCTCTAATTACGTACCTAATTCGCGGTCGCGTCAAGAAAATATGCCCGTTTTCGGTACATTCAAATTCTTGGATTGGAAACGCACGGTCTCAGTGACGGAGAATTCAGCGCAGGCCTCGAGACGAGCGGGAGCGATCACATGGAGAAGATTTTTATTCCGTTGAAATTCGAGGCCGGCGTCGCGTCGGTCCCCTCTGTTTCAGTCCAACTCATATATTTGGTTCGGGTCACAATAGGTTCCTATTCCGAGATTCTGGCAGAAGCGTCGGTGGAGCACTCTCCTCAAATACAAGTATTTCGCACCGAAGTTAGCCCACCATCCAGAATAATTCTCCGCCTACGAGTATAAAACTTTCGATTACATATCACAAATCTGTACGCGGAGCATCTTGTCCAACAGCCTCTGATGGTGCGTCAAATCGAAACTTTACCACCGACTTCCCGAAAGCCGCCAGGTCTCGAATCTCCTCCTTGATTTTCTGCATCAGAAGGAATGGCAACTCTTGGGCGCACTCGATTTCGAACTCATCCGGGTCAAGGTCGTCAATCTGACGATTAGAACGAAACCTCTGGTCAGATAAAGACGGAATGCGAAGGGGAGGGTTCCAGACGGCTCGTGCACGGGGCAGCGACGTTACTCGCCTTAAAAGCTTCCAGACTGACAATTTTGGACTGTTTCAATCGGAAGAATCCAGCAGCTCTCGGAATGACCACCTTACAATCGGATCTCCTCCGGTAGAATCTCTTGACGTAGAACCTGTAAGAATCATTGGGCAGGAGAATCGTTCCCGCTCCGAATCATTGTTCCAGTACTCCGATTGAGCGCACAGATGGGTGATCTCGGAAACTCACTCGAATTCGATGGTCACATCCTCAACCATGAGTCGTACCTCGAGCCAAATCAAGCCGCTTTTCTCGGTCAATGTAACATCGCCCGCCCGACTCGCGCCACTGAGTCCGTGGATGTGTTTCTGGAAAAGTATCGCTCACTATCACAGAGGAGACATCGGAGTGATGCGACCATCGAAGGCCTATGAAATCAGTTACGAATACAGACCTTGGAGGAAAGCCAATCCATGAAACCAATACTCACTGCTAATAGAACGGTATCCTTTCCAGGAATGCATTGGTTCAGACGCAACGGGTCCACAACGATACCGGCGTATAGAACAGAGTCGACCAATTCACCGATGTCTTTTTCTTTCTTTTGCTTCGTGGTAAGAACATCCTGTAGACTTCTTCCTGGAATTGGTGACAGTCGGCGTCGAGAGAAACATGATAGAGCTTGCCTTCTTACAGCGTGAATCCTTCGAAATTCCGTCCCGTATATGGAACTCAAGACATGACTCATAAGTCATGACCCAGAGGTCGGGAGTGAACGAGCCAAGAGGGGGTCCTCAGGTAGACAACTCTGGGTGATAACTGGATGGACTCGGCTCACGTTCAAACAGCTATTTCTTCTCGGTTTGCCGAATCGAGAATATTCACGGGACTCCCACGCCGGCTTCGGGCTACAACAGAGGAGCTCTCTTGGCGAGGAAACTGCAAAATATCGAGCTGGCAACTCACCGACCAGATACGCAAGCGTTGATATCAGAAAGAAGTTTTTCATTTGAGAGCAAAGCTCTCATCCACTCCGTTACGAAACGCAAGCGGCGTGGCGGTGGGACGACCACTTGAAGCATGTCGACTGCAATCAACAACTTCGTGCGCTGATTGACGGAAGTTAAATCGAAACTACCATTCGCGGCCTACAGGTTTGATGGAAAAGTTCCGAGCGTGACAAGAATACGGAACGACCGATGTGTTGATTTATATTCTCAGCTCCTTCCAGGTCTCGTGTGATGAGTCATCTCGACATCGTTTCTCAGCTCTGATCATCACTGACGGCTAATGACACCTCGAACGATCCCAGAAGTCGACTCGACTGCGGTCGCATCCTGTCGCGTTGGTATTCGGAAGCAAAGTAAGCTTGGAATCTTCAGGAGGCCCATGGGAGGAACAAAATGGAGGGAGCGCGATCCGCAAGCAGGGAATTCAAGCGGAGATTGAACATGGGGCTATCATCCTTGGGTCGCTCGCATTAGATTCGAGCTCTGAGCGTCATGCTCATGAAATTCCTGATTTTGATCGATCATGAACCATCATCGTGAGCTCCGATCGGGGCGATCGTTCTGAGGAGATCGATCCGGAAGTCACCGGACGGTTGGCAAAGATTTGCTTCCGCACGGTGAACTCAAATGTGCTCCATGCTTCTAATGACTCAATTCCATTTATTGATTCCTTCAATTCCTCCCTCTGAAGTACATCGAATCTCTCGATTTCCGCGTCACGTGGGCCGAGCTCAGGAAAATCGCTGATCGCGAGCATTTCCTTGTTCCCTGCTTGCTTCCCTCGGTTCCGAACTACGCTCCAGGTCCTCGACCAGGACTCTAGTGGAACCTCTTCGTGCTGTCAGTTCAGCCGATGCAGCAAGCCTGCAGCAGGACCTTGTAGTCGAGTTCTCGCGATCAAACTCAAAGTTCATAGATTTCGGCGGGGTTACAGTAGCTGAGCAGGCCGAGTTTACAGAAGCGGCGATGAAGAAGTTTCCTTAGATGCAGGTATTTAACACCGAATTTCGCCCACCCTTTGATGTAGGTTTCTAACTGTGAATCCCAGGTATTGACCAGATTAGTATCTCCTCAAATGATCCGTGAGTCGCACCCTGGATTCATCGACAACTCACCCTTATCCTCTCGAAATACATCGCCGACCGCAGAGATTCTTTGATCTGTTTGGTCACAGCATCCGGCAACTCGTCGTGGCAGAAAAAATCCGTATTGTCTCTCTGTATCTCATCGATCTGTATATTTGAAAGAATATGCCGTCGGTATTGAATATTCTGTTCTGGTATTTTTCGATTCGAGCCAACTTGGGAAACATTAAATTGGTGCAGTAAAAGAAAAACGTACCCCGAGCTCGCCGAGTTCCCCAACATGTGAATGTTTGATGGTGAAATTGCCCGACATTTTGGGGATCGTCAGCTGGCAAGAACTCCTTTCTTCCGCAAAAGCCTTGATCCAGAATCTTTTGGAGGACGAAGGCATCGAGGTTAATGTCCCAGTTATGTCTCAATACCTCGAAATGTCTCATGCTCGCCCCTGTTCGGGGCACGGAATATGCCGGGTCCCCCACTCGAAAACTCACTCGAAATCAATGACAACATTATCAACTTCGAGATAAACTGTCAGCCAGATCTCCCCTTCTTCTTCTCGCAGTTTGACATCTTTCGCTCGACCGAGGCCGCCCAAGTTGTGGACGTTCACCTGTCATTGAGATGTTGATTACTAGCATTCAACAATATCGGAGAGTTCGGTCCAGAGGAAGTGGACTGAATGGAGCAAACTCAGGGAGTTCACGGTACTCACGCCGAGGAAAACTGTATCGCGAACGAGTATGCATTTTTTCAGCATGAGTGGATCCAACATGATCGAGGCGTACAGAACGGTATCGATGACCCCTGCGATGTCATTTTCTTTCTTCTGCTGTGCAGACTGACTCGATGCCGAAACTAAAAGTTAATGGACGAAATCTTGTTGAATGGACTCGGTATGGCTAGTGGCTAGACACCACCTAGTCCCCTCGCGAGCTCGACAAAAACAAGAATTCCTCGACATGTCTTTTTCCCACCCCCGCGCTTCACGAGAATCCCTCGAAGCGATGAGCCGATCGTGCCGAAGGAGCTCATCCGCACGCTCCCGAACGCGGAACTGCCGACATTTCACTGTTTCCGATGATTACACTTCCGGCTATCCGCGGCGGGGCTGATTCCGCACCCTTAGCATCGTGCGTTTGATATGCGATGAGTGACCCTAATCCTTCCAACGTGCAACTTCAGGGGGCGATGACGACCCCGAAGTTGAAAAGTTCTCAAGCGGAAGGTTGACCAGGTGTACACTCACCGATCATCGATCCGAGAACGATGATTGAGGAGAATCCTTTCATTAGGGGTCGCGACTTTCATTTGCTTCGCCACGGAGAATGCGGCGAACCGGCGGATAGGTGCCATTTCTGAATTCTCATACATTGACTTGATTCCTCCGAAAACGCGTGACTGGACTATCGAGCCCGACCGTATGATTTATTTCGTATCGTTGTTGTTAATATATCAAATATTCCTTCTGAGCTGCTGTTTTACCTATGATCCTTTCGGGGCCCGACCTTCCGAGAGGATCAGGAAAGCTGTTCTCGGAAGAATTTTTCTCTTTAACAGTACGAGCTTCATCGACTGAGTGCAGATCGATTTTGCGAGGGCTCGTCTGGTCGAGGACTCGTCATGCGATCCGCTAAAGAGTTTCTGCTCCGTAAAGTAAAACTCGGCCAATCCTCGCTTCTCGAGGTATCCGGCTGAGTGGACCCGATTATCCATTCCTCTTTATCCGTCCAGGTGCCGATAGTTCGTTTTGGGAATGGAGGACTCGATTCAAGCCTCGAGGAGACGGGGACGGAATCGTTCCGATAGTTTGGCTTGCGGATGAGCTTTTAGTCGAAGGAGTGAGCCTTCCTGAATTTGGACCACAGCCAAGACATAGGGGCGATGGTCCCTAGTCTAGGGAACTATACCATTCTATACCACGCTGCTGCTTCCGAAAGCTTCTGATTGTGAAATAAATTCATTTGTGAAATTCTGTGTAGTTCCGCGGCAGCCAAGGAGCTGAAATCGTCCCTCGAGATGACGCGAGGTTTGACACCTTTACGTCGTGTGCCCTGACGGGTGCTGTCATCGATTTTGGCAGAGTTCAGACCTCATCCTCCTCTAGGACGTGTCATGGCGAGGCAAGGCTTCGCCGCGATCGACGAGTGCAGAGAGGTCCTCCTCGACTTCGGTCAGTTACGAGCTCCACCGCAGGACGGCTCCATCAGAACGGATTATATCGAAACGGATATATACATATATAAACGGATTATATATATAGCGAACACTGATTGATATCTCAGTCCTTCCTTTTTCCTTGACAGTGGAGAAAGATGTCGCCGCGGAGGAGTGCCGCCGGACGGTGCTCCGTACTCTCTTCTTACTGCTATGGTTCCCGCTCTGCTACCTGACGGTATTCGTGACCGTCGCTCTTTTCGAGCCAAACGTCAAATTCTGGATAATATATAATCCTAAGATGGCCTACTGCTCATTGTGAGTTGATAAATTCGTCATGTCTCTTTGGTATTCTATCGTTTCCTCGTGCCTTCTCCCCGAGTCAAGCATCGTCTGGGGGAAGACACGTGCCGACATCGATTCTCGGGATCCTGATCAAGCCCCTTTGAACGACTTCCTCTTCACGGCACAAATTCTAGATGATGACGGTATTGTCATTCCCACGTTGTCTCGAGGGTTGGTGCCTTCGAGTTGGCGCCCACGGACTTACTCAGAAAGGTTCACCTAGGAACTCAACCGGTCACACCTCGTATCAGCTTATCGACTCTAATAATGGCGCTCGAGTTCTGTGCGAATTCGCTCACTTAGCCGTTCATATAAGATGGACGAACTCCAACTGGCGATATCCGAGTACGGTCATTCGGGGCTGAACTGACTTCGGGACCTGCAATAGAGTTAGCGTTTCGTACGACATCGCACGAATACTTAAGCGTACATTGAACAGCGGCTCATCTCTCGTTTCGAAAGCTAGGCCTTCCTGGATATAAGTTAACTCCGGGTCCTGCACGGATCTCGCCGTATTTCCTTTCCAGTATAGCCATGCCGCTGTTGCTCCTAGTGGTCCTGTTCTATGCACCGATCCAATCCTCGACAAGCTACACACTGATGGTCCTGGCAGTTTTCGTGATTGACTTCGCCTACGTCGAATCCTCGCTCTGTGCATTTTTCGAAACCTATTGTGCCTTCATGATGAACCGTGAGTATTCCAACTTCCCGGGGTGGGCGCCGGCGAATATTCGGTCTACGATCGTGTCGGTTTCCGGAGCGGCAGCATAATGCAACGCTATCCTTTCATAACTCTTTCATCCGCTCGATACAGTGAGCGAACTTCCCTCAGCGTGGACCGTTTCTCAATGTTACAGTTATCTGTCTCATGACGTGCACGGAAATACTCGCGTTTTCCTTCCTGCCGTTGGATCTGACGGCCCCGACGGGGATCCTGATTATTCTTTCGAGCCATCTTATCAACTATGTAGCTGTAGCCTGTGCTCTGGCGGCTTCGGTCGCCGACAAGGCCATCACCGGAGGTGCGATGGGTGTATCCGCCGCAGTGATGATGTTCAAAGTGCGGTCTATTGTCAACTATCTCGCTCTTGAAGAGCGTATCTGAATCAAGCTGGTCTATTGTCTGGCGAATTTCCTCCAAAATTATGACTCGTTGCTCAAAACAGCGCGGGTGTACGGAAATCGGTGAGGGATTTAGGTACATAATTCATTCCTCGTCTTAGGAGCATCCGCGCAATGTTTGCCTCGAGGATTATGTTTTCCCGCCCCGCGATGAATAATATTCTGATTCATCGCGCTCTCTTGCTCGATATTCCATCGGAACTCACACGGTGAGCCCGACTCTATCATCTCCGGCCGCCGAGGTCGTCGTCGCGACCAGGCCAAAAATTTCACACCATCCAATAGAATAAAATTTCAGCTTGATTTTTGGAATCTGCCCATTTCTTGATGTAGCTCACGAAATCCCCCTCTCTCGCCCTTCCTCCCGTACCGCGGGTTGTCTTCCCATTGGGTCGCGTTCCTGGGACATGTCGACGGGACTTGAGCAGATGCATGTCAGCTGAACGCCTGTAGGACGAAAATTACACATCGCGCTGAATCCTGGAGCGTGCAACATTCTCGTGTCGTCTGACGATCGAATGCTTCGACCGCATGTCTGGGGTCAGGGGGTGCAAACGGACAGAATGCCAGCGAAGGAGGAGCCCCGCCCTGCAGCTATTAGGGCATGACACCGGAGAGCAACGTACACAGTATTTCACTCATCTTAGAAGGCTGCAGTGGGGAGGCTCCTCTTTGGCTTGGCGCCAGACTGACTGCCGGTCGGACCTCTCGCTCCTGGATCGCCGCTTGCCTCAGTCGCTCGTCTGCCTTAGACCCCACGCAACGAGATTTGAAACTTAGTTGGTATTCGGCACAGCATCATCCTACCCGTTCCACACTCCCCTCCCTACCCTACGTAAATAGTTTGACCTGGTACCCACGGCAAACCTCTATCAAATTCACTAGGCCACTCTCCGATTTTTTCTCTCTGTCTCTCCGCCGTTCTCCCCTCCTGCCTCTGGCCTGGCCAAGGGGCTAGCGGGTCGGCGCACCAACTATCCATTCCTGTGGGTCTCTCGAGCAGCCAGTGCTTGAAACCTTTGCTTCGTTAATCTCAATTCATAACGCCGGCCTACGTTGCGGTGAGCTGCCAAAGGCCCAGCACGGCATGGACCAATCGTAAGTACCATCTTCCATCTCTCCTGCTTTCCTGCTTATCCCAGAGATAATAGTCATGTGTGTGTGCTCGCCCGCTCACGTTGAAATGTTGACCTTGAACTTTGCAAAGAGCATTCAAGTACGCTCCGGATCTCTGGTCGGACCTCGCAACGAGGCAGCGTGTATCACCCAGAATCGATGTCATGTCGACTGCATATATCTATTCGGTACTCTTCCAGTCAGATCCGAACGGGAAAATCTTCATGCCATTCGCGCTATAGACCGAGGCACCGATGCTCTGAATGCGTGGCTCGAGCTTCAGATTGCAATAGTCCTCGTGGAAGAATCAGTCCGAGAGAGAGACCCGAGGCTCTCCGGCGGTGCGGAGTTGTCGCAGGTGATCGAGGGATGAGCAAGTCACTGAGCGGGAAACTCATCGGCAGAGTAAAATGTGGGAGCATCCAATGATCGCTCCCCATGACAATGATTGGCCGGCCAGACTGCGAGCGCCGGTTTTTGTTTTGGCTTAATATGCCCGAAGCAGCAGGCCACACAGTTCCTGTGAATGTCAAAGGACGTGCGCTTTGCGGAGGACGTCCGTCTTCTCGGAGTCATCCTGCGCGCAGCACAGCGCTGCGAGGACAGACCTGTTGCTCTTGGAGTTCTGTTCAGATATGGGCGTGAGTTTCAAGATAACCAGGTCCGATGAGGATAAAACTTTGAGAGCGGGGGAGCACCCGAGATGCCCGTTGGAGAATTTCTCCGAGAACTTAATCGGATCCTCTGAGCTACGAGGGGGCATGTTCTGTAGAAGTGCTCGAGCTTCAAGGATCACGATTTTGGGAAACATCATCGAAGAGTAAGAGCTCGATGTCTCCGCCTTCTCCGAGAAGTCATCAGCACCTTTCACTCGACACCCAACCTGACCCTCTCCTCATTGTCTGAATCTCCTCAATGTTGGCCGGTGTCCAAAGATCGGCTCGCTCATGCTGCATCTGAGGATTGAAGTTTTCCGGACAAGGAATAGTTCGGAAGCTCGCTGACCGCGGTGTTTGTCGCTTCTTCCTTGCAGGGCAGTCCACTTCTCATCAAAACCGCATTCGCCGGAGGACGAACTCGGTGAATGGAGCCACCTGAGAGTAGACGCAACCGCCGGCGGGACGGGTGAGTTCTGGAATGTATGACCTCTTCTATGATTGAGATCACGGAGGCACAAACCCCCTTTTCTCCAAACCCCCTCTCTGAAGAGATTTCCACTCGGGAGCAGAGAGCTAGGCTGCTCAGGCCGATGGAATCTATCGGGAAGTCGATACTCTTCTAGGGTGGGGTCGGGGTCCATTCCGGGAAACTTCCGGTTTCGGAAGGGCTACAGCGGATTCCGTTGACTCTAATCGAACAAGAGCGATAGACGAGTGCTCACACGGAGCGTTCGACTCGTCTCGCTCTCGTTCCATGAAGCTCACGTCGGTATGGTCACGCTGACATCCCGATCTCAGGCGACGTCAACGTGCCTTCATTTTCACATGGAAGAGCGAACATTATCGGAATGATTAAGGCCTCTGTGTACGGGGCGCGTCGGACCCGATCCGAACGATCACCGCGCCTCGACGACGAACTCCGCAAACATCGGATTCAATATTGGGGCTTTAGATCGTCTGGAAAAAACTTCATTGGCTCTGGAGTAAGAAAAAATGATGATGACCGATGGAGAAGATCCACGAAGAAAGAGGCGACCCTCCCCGCCCCGTGGTCTCATATTCGTCGCACCAAGTCGAGACCGTCATTGCAGATATCTGAGTACGCATCTGATCTCAAGGTGGTCACATTTTTTTTTCTAGCGGTCTCCGTGATCCGTCCGAAAACCCTCGAGCTCGACCCCAGCTCCGCAGAGGCCAAGTCGAAGCGCTCTGTAGGTTCTGCTCTCGTGCCGTTAGCGCTACTCCTGATGAGTTTTCCATTCGGTTTCTTGGCAAGCGTAATGGCCATTGTGCTTTACGTCCCAGTTGTCAACTCCTGGCTGAACAAGAACTACTTGACCGTCCACATCGCTTTGTGAGTTGATGACTCGATCAGACGGAACGTTTGACGACCACCGCAGGCACTCTGACTAAACCCCATCCTATTTTCAACTCCGTAGCGGATCCACTCTGGTGTTCTTCTTCATCCACATCTTTCCCCGCGTTAAAGCATCGTTCGTTTTGAGCGTCTTTTTCAGCACACTATTTCTATGTTCACTCGCATATCTGACAGCCGTGCTGTCAGTAATCATCGACACCCCTATAGTCTTCATGCTAAATTGTGAGTGGGCGATCAAGAGCGTACAATACAAGTACGTACATGCATGCATGATCTTCTACGGACATCAGAGTCATGGTTATCGTTCGGGACCCTCTGCTGGGTCGTGTCTCTGCCGATCTAATTATATCATGGTTTCGTTGAAGATATGGACGGAATATTCTCTCGTAGTAAAGTCTATGTAGACATTGACGTTCCATCTTCTTGCAGCCATCTGCTTCGCCGTGTGTCTGCAGCTTGTGGTGTATTCGACGATCGGGATCGATCTCACCTCAATTTTTGGACTCGTCATGTTATTCGGAAGCTTCACTGTCGATTATGCAGTTGTAGTGTTCTTAGTGCCTTCGAAAATTCTCGACAAGATCATCGCATTCGTGAGCTTGGCTGGGATATCAAAAGGTTTTCAAATGAAAATTTCGGAGTTAGTAGGGAAGTATCAACAAGACGATGCCGTTTGAGTTCCTCTGTGTGAATGTTAGCATTCCAACAAAATCCGTCCTGGAGCGGAGCGCCAATCCGCTCCGATTCCCGAAGCTTTCGGAGACTCTGAAAGAATCCGATGAGAAGGGGGGATTGATCCACGAGAGTGTAGCTACAGGAGCGCTGCTCCTGTCGTACTTGTGTGGTTTCGAGCTATGGGAAGCTGCATCGTCATAGATGAAGTACTCGATCGACCGATTTGTATGCGGATTAGATCAGAGAGCGCTTCTCTCCGGATATCTCGTCAAGCCGGAGAACGAACAAGTCGCGCAAACGGATATTTGTTGATTTCTGCGTGCGAATTGCGGGTTTTTCGAATTTTCCAAGCACGACAGACTGGTTGTGAAAGGTATTTTTTGAACCTGTACACGCGGACGGAAATTTCGAATGGAGTATCCCAACGTCCGGGTTTCCCCACCCGAATGTGATCATTGAATAATGATCAGAGTTTTGGTCACACGTAGCCACAAAGTATGCGATAATGTCTCACCATGAAACGTATCCATTGCTGTGATTATTTCAAAGCGACCATAGGAGCGGAGATTTTAAGCTAGCATCAGGCTGCCGCGGCGTTGAGCAGAGAAGGGAAAGAAAGTACCATGTCGTCGGGAACATGTTTAGTCCACAGTTCCCCCATGAGACGAACGACTGTATATTTTGATGGAGCGATCGCGGAGAGGAGGCAGTATTCAAAGTATAGAGGACTTCTGTTCAAGTTTTGTATGTTTAGATTAGAAGGCGAACGACGCTGACTTCGACAGCCTCATCAAAGAACTGCAATACAACTTTTCCACCGTCCATTTTCAGCGTCGACGGGAGTAGCAATGTTCAAAAATATACGATAAGTGTATAGAATTGATTATGTACTTGCGATCACTCGTTGGAGTACCGGGACTCGTCTCGGATAGCACGATATGTTTACACAAGGAGGTAGAATACTGGAATGGGCACTTCGGAAGATTCATTAAAGAGGAATTTTGAAAGAGGTTGCCATATTTTTTCGGCTGGGGGGAATCTCACTCAAGATAGACGGACTTTCGTCTCGGATACTTACTCAATATTCAATCAAGTCATTCTAGCTCGAGTTCCCTTCGCCCCTTCGGTCTTCCGGAGAGCGGGAGCGGCTCAACGAATAATAGGTAGGTGCACTCCAAGTCTCATTCTGGGTATACATGGGGCTTGTGGAGCGGCATCATTGAAAAGAGAGCTTCCAAGCGGCCAAGGAAACACTACATCAATGCCTAATTGAACATCCACATCTGATGGGCGGGCCGTCAGATATGTCCCTGTTGTATGTTATATATTCCTGAGAATACATAGGAGTCCTCATCTAGGAATCCTAAGATCCTTTCCTC